GAATCGCTCTGCGCTGGATGCGGTCAAGTGGAAGGAGCTGGCACTGGGGTGCCCCGGCCCAGAGATGAGAACAGTATTCCATGTGGAGCCGAACTTGCGCTTTGTAAAGTTGCAAGCGATGTGCCGGCATGAAATACTGTCTCGCTCTGCTGAGCACGCCAAGCTTTTTAGAGGCCAATTTGGCCTTCCCTTCCAAGTGACCACGAAACTGCACGCTATTCGATATGTCGACGCCAAGGATTCCGATACTGGCTGAGGCAGCAAGGGGAGTGCCTTGAAACTGAGGAGATACGACAAAGGGGTTCTTTTTAGCGGTAAACGCGCAAACTTGTGTCTTCTGGGGATTGAACTGGACTAGATTTAGTCGGCCCCAATCCGAGACTTTGTTAAGCAAAGACTCGACTTCAGACACAAGTTTGTCCCGGTACTCGGCGACGTTTTCCCGAGAAATATTGGCACGGCCGGTATATAAGGCATCCCCAGTGCTGTCGTCTGCATAGCAATGAATGCTACCAGTTAGCAACATATTGATATTGTAACGAACCCCCCCCCCATCTTTTTTCTCTTCTACTATATATCCACTTATACTTGTATTTCTTTAGAATCTATATCTGTAAGATATATAAATATATCTAATTTACGCGACCAGTATAACTTGATCTTTCTAAAGGTTTAAATATAGGCCGTTTAATAAATTTATGGCGTGATCGTCTTAGTTAGGACCCTTTTTTACGTTGTGTTTGTATAGTAACTTAGTTCTTTTAGGTGTATCTTGGAAGAATGAATATTCACGAGAGCAATCGAAAGCTGTTGGTAGAGTCTTATAAGGTAGAGAACCCCGTTCACGAAGACAGAGCTCAAAAAGGTTAAGAACAATAAATTGTCCCTATTCCACTTGTATCTGGTTCACAACAGTCAATTCCTTATTAATTAATCCCTTCCCGCTTGGAAAAGGCTCACAATATTTATATCAAATACCAGTTACAAGGGCTTCGCTCTCCCACATTTTAAAAAAAAATGTGGAGGAGGTACACGGCCCCACACACGCCGCGCACGGTGAGCGCCAACCATTTTAATGCGCTCCCCCCGAAGGGTACGCAAAGTTGGGAACTGGACCGTAGTCCACAGCAAAATAACCAGTAAAAGAGGACTTGGCCCCTTGATAGTGCGTAAGCACAAACATCGACCGAAGTCGCGCATGTCAATGCGTGTAAACGCCATACAGAATACGATCAAATCCAGTCACAGTGAATGTACGTCACACGGGTTAGGCAACAATAGGCACACTGACCATAAAAAGCCTTCCGTGAGCGCCACCACCTGCCAGACCGCCGTTCCTGCAGACGTGATGTAAGTGTAAGGCATCACCACCAATTGCATGGTCAGCACGGCCAATTGGCCGCAGAGCGTGTCATGAGTCTACCGCTCACCTCAAGGGAATGGGGTCCCACGTTGCGCGGCTTTCGGCCGCAGCCTTGAGAGCCTCCTCAGATTCTCCCTCCAGCTACCACCCGCATGAGGTCAACACATATGCTCCACCAACCAATACATTGGCAGATATAGCCAATAGGCAGTTATAAGATAATATTAATAATTCGCCATCAGAAAGGGTTTGTGTCACTGACGTTGAGTATATGCATTTTTCGATCATGTTTGTCTCACCCACCAACAAGTTGCCTTCAATCTCTCAAAGGTGGGAACTTTATAGAGATATATTATTAAGTTGTTATATAAAACATCATGGAGGGCAGACAGTCTGCAGCCCCGCTATGAAGGGACCCGACTTGGGCAAAGCTACTTAGGTTGTGAGTGAAACCAAGACGCAGAGAGCGCCATTGAGAATAGCGACCCGCCAAACAACCATCGTAGAGACGCAATGCTACAGAATGCAACAAGCATCAATACGACTATCGTCGGGCTTACACCATCCCAAGGTCCCCCATACAGTCCCAGCAGACATCACCACCCGCATACCTCCATCGACCAGAACCACAAGATGCATCGAATCAGGTGCAGCACACCCGCAGATCCATCACAAGACACAATACTGCAAGTAGCAGTAAGCATCAATGCAACTATCATACGGATGGCGCCCCCTCACAACACACCCACATGATCCCTATCGACTTTGGTAACAAAATTTGATAATGTTGTTAACTAAAAATACCACCGACGTATCATAGTAGTACGGTACTAAGACGTCAGTAGCCAAAACTCCACGTATCATAGCGCTATTGCACTAAGACATGAAGTTGAGTATGCTTGCTGCACTTAAAAGTACTACCAAACACACTCACCCTAATCCGAAAGATAGCCGACGTATCATAACGCTATGCGCTAAGACGCCGCCCACAACCGGTAGGGGTGTGCGATGTCCACGGGCAAGTCGTATTGCTACAACAAACCCGCTTACCACCGGCACTAAGATGATATGTCTAGGACACATCGGTTAGTGAGTCCAAGTTTACCTCGGTCTCAGAGGCTGCGAAGCAACCTACACGCCACTATAATAATCCTTTTCAAGTCCCATTTCTTTCAATATAATGCTTTTACATATTTGAGACCTTCCACATATTTGCTATATTTCATAGACCATACTACTGTATGTCTTATTCATATGGGACTTCAAGTCATAACTCTGCTATCATAATGCTTATGCATCATAGAGACCTTCTATATTAATGCTTTGGTTCGTCAGACCTTACTATGTTAAGTCCCTAATATAGGACTAGTCATTGTGCAACCTTAGTACTAGCAGTCGGTCAGCCGACCACCCCATATATATGTACAACCTTGGGTATGTGTCTCCGACAACGCCCCAATATAAGGGAACATTACAAGAACACGTTCATTAACTTAGAAATTTTCCAATTATTACACGAACTCCTTCATCAACTTAGAAAATTTTAATCCATTTTTTCTATTATATTACAAATGTTATTTATCTTTGTTATTGCAATATAATCGCCTTGTATTTATATGATTTGATATATTTTGAACATTTTAAGCAGGTTTTTAATAAATTTAGAGATTTTTTGAGACATTTTATGCGTTTACTAATATATATAATATTCAATTTTCCAAATGGATATTTTTGAACTCTATGCTTATTATTTGCATTTTATTGTTTAAATTATAATTTCTCAGACATTTTTAAATGTCTGTATAATGAATATAATTATTATTTATTAATAATAATTATGAGGCGTCACAATCCACCCCCAAATTTTATGTTAATGATCCACATAGTGGAGTCGTTAATATAAAATTTTAGTATTTTGAGAGCATATACACTACACTCAAATAATTGTTTATATATCTGTTCTTTCCTCTTTTAATCTGTTACAATACGGCATATGTTATCAAATCCCCCTGCCCCAGAGAATGGCCGCCACCAACACCCCTTCAACCACAATTATCACAATGTGATAACACCATAATTCAAGTTATTGTATATCGTGTTGTTAATAAAGTTTGCAGTCAATTGTCGATTTCTTATTTTATTAATTTATCTTTAAATCTTTGAAACATTATTTCGATAGTGTCACACTTTATGTGCATACAATCCAGTTTGATATTAGTTGAGGTCAGTTCGATACCACATAGGATAAATGTGTTTGAGCCATTCGCCCTGACCCAACTCCCATATTTATTTAATAAAAATGATTACAAAATTATCTTACAATCTATATTTACAACTCTTCATTATATATTAATAATGTTCTACTATCATATAACAAATCTTTTGCTCATAACTTTAATAATTTTAGACCTTTAACTTAAACAATTATTTCCATGGGCCACCCACAAAACCCTTTTATGTTACAATATTTATTTAATTACTCTAATTTATACAAAAAGAAATTATTATTTAAAATATTTTAATAAGTGAATAGCATTGAAAATTCCTCTAATTTCGTTTGTCTCTGGATTTGCTAAGGTATATACATTGTCAAATGGTACGGCTGCTATTACATAAGGTCCTTCATATGCCAAATTGAACTTACTCATAACTTTATTATCAGCGTCTGATCTACTAGATCTTGAAATTTTTACTAAGTCACCAATATTATATTTTATTAATCTATTTCGCTTATCAAATTTTGTGTTTCTTATTCGACTTGCCTCTTTTAAATTTTTACGCACTTGTTGTCTAATTTGTTCGACATTATGTTTGTCTTTGCTTTTGGAAATTACTTTGTCAAAAGACATCTCATTAGACTCACCATAAAGAATCTCACAAGGCGTGAAGCCTGTACTATTGTGATAAGAATTATTATACAATTCTTCTAATTTCGGCAATATTAACGCCCAATCTTTGTGGTTAGTATGACAAAGCGTCCTAAATAATCTGCTCAACTCTTTATTTACTCGCTCTGTTGTATTTGGTCTAGGATTTCTAACTGTGGTATATATTGGCTTTATATTTAATTCACTCATTGATTGTTTCCAGTGATTACTTACGAACTGTTTTCCATTATCTGTCATTATTGCCTTGGGCTTTATAATCTCAACAAAATGCTTTACTTTTGTTACAACAGACTTTGCTGTTGACTGTTTTAAAGGATATAATTTGATAAATTTACTGAATGAATCTTGAATGACAAATATGAAAGTGTACCCAAAGGTACCTGATACAAGCGGTCCATATAAGTCTGCCATGACTATATCGCCAATGTTTTCTGTTATTATAGATTTGCAGGGACCCACATATGTTATATTGCTTTTCTTAGATAACTGACATAAATGACAAGCCCTTAATTGGTTTTTAATATCTTTTGTTAAACCTTTCCAAAAGAATCTGTCTCTCACATATTTAATTACCTTATAGGGTCCTTGATGACCCATTTCGACATGCACTTGATTTATAATATCTTGTCTCAATGCTTTAGGTAAATATATTACTTCTTGTAAATTCGTTTTGTAATATAATACATCATTTTTCAAACTATATCTTTTAAATTTATTGTTTTGTTTTATTATGGAAGTATTTAATGTCTTTAACTTTCAATAATAGCCAACGACTCTGAATCTTGTAATTGATATACTGTTAAGGATTTTAATTTTTCTATCAACTCAATATTCGGTTCGCTCTCTGTGTAAGCAATTTCTAAACTATTATTTTTTTCCTCTTGTATTAAATCGCCATCAGGAGGATAACGTGATAGCACATCTGCAACAATATTACGTCTACCCGATATATGCTGTACTTCATAATTAAATTGTTCTATATACAAAATCCATCGGGTTACTCTACCATTGAATAACTTCATATTATTAATAAACAATAATGCTTTATGATCAGTTAGTATTATTACTTTACTGCCCCGCAAATATGTTTCAAATTTCTTTAGGCAGCTTATTACAGCATAAAACTCTTGTTCAGTAACAGACCAATTTAATTCGGGGCCTTTTAAGGCTTTACTATGATAGCCTGAAATTCTCATTTCATTATTATCATCTATCTGATATAGTACTCCGGCCATACCCACACCGGAACAATCTGTTTGTAAATAATACGGCTTATTAAAGTCTGGATGATGCAATTGTATTGTATTAATAAATTGTTGTTTTATAAAATCAAATGCCTTCTGTTCTTTACCGCTCCATTTGAACTTTCGTCCCTTTTTAAGTAATTCACAGAGCGATATTATGCTCTCGCTGTAATTTGGTATAAACCTTCTATAAAAATTGCATAGACCTAAAAAGGCCCTTAATTGTTTAATCTTTTTAGGTGCTGGAAACTCTTGGATCGCTCGAATCTTATCGGGATCTGTCTTTATGCCTTCTGTTGAAATTATAAAACCCAGCATTATAATTTCTTTACAAATAAATTCACATTTCTGCAAGTTACACGTTAAGCCAGCTTTGTTCAATTTACTTAAAACAATATCAATGTGCTCCAAATGTTTATCTAACGTTCCTGTTGTAATAATGGCTAGATCATCTAAATAGTTCACACAAAATTCTTGGATTTCTGGTCCTAATATTAAATTCATGGCTCTGCTAAAGCTTCCTACTGATGTTTTTAATCCTTGCGGCAAAACATTATATACATATGACTTTCCATTGAATGTGAATCCAGTATATTTTCTACCATCTTTATTTATCGGAATTTGAAAATATGCATTATTTAAGTCAATGGTAGTGATATAATTCGCTCCGTGAAATGAATTCAAAATATCTAATTGTATAGGTGGTTTCTCTGTTTCTGCACCCATTTTCTTATTTATGCTTCTGGCATCAAGCAGAACTCTAATTGAGCCGTCTTTTTTAAGAGTGAATGTCAATGGACTACTGTAAGGCGTTGATGTCCTTGTGATGATACCAGCTTGTTCCATTTCATTTAACTTTTCTTCCATTTTCGCTCTATATGTATATGGAATGGGATAGGACCTAGTAACTATAGGTTCATCATCGATCATTTCAATTTTATGCTCATAGCAATTGGCTCTTCCCAATTTGCTCGAAAACATATTCTTATGCTTTTCCAAAACCTTACTAAGTTTTGCCCTTTCAGAGACCTCCAATGTAGATCCTATTTTTATATTTATTAAGGGATCATCGGTACATTGTTTGATGCAGTTATTATGTAATACAGATTTATTATTATATTTGAAAGGTATAAAGTAGTCTTTGTTTTTCACTTTAAATTCTATTCCAACAGTAGTATTTCTCAAATCAATCAATATTTTATTTCTCTTGAGCCAGTCAAAGCCTAATATTAAAGGTCTTATTAAATTACCTACAATTAAAGTTTGTGTTTCAAAGACTACTTCATCTATCTTTATAGGCAATATGATCATCTGTTGTATTTTTGTGCTGCGCTGCCCAACAGCACCTTTTATTTGCATTGCTTTAACTGGCATTATTGATATTTTACGATTATTATCTTTAATTTGTAAATATAAACTTTCTGAAATGCATGTAACATCGCTCCCAGTGTCGAGGAGCGCGTCTATTTCTTTGTCAAATATTGAAACTTTAATTTCAGATCTCATATTCCCTATAAATTCCCTTTGATATTTATCTTCGTCTTCCTCGAAGACGGTTTGCACGAATAACTCCGTTATGGGCAAGTCCGACCTGGCTTTTAAGGTGTTTAATATGCTATTTACATTGTCGTTATAACCAAGGCCTTCTCTGTTAAAATTTGCTTTTAAAGTAATAGGTTTTCGCAACCCTCTATTGTTTTTACCCAATGTTTGACCAGGTCGCCAACCCAGTTTTAATAACATATTTAATGCTTTGTTCCCTTTTACATTGTAAGGGGTCGAATTGGGAACTAGTTCGACCTCTACAGCTCTAAATTTGGCTCAGGGGCCGTAACATCAGGTTGGTCATTAGTGAAATGTATTTCATGTACTTCATTAACCTTCTTTTTTCCCTCTTCGGGTTTACGCCATATTTTGTATGATTGTTGTATTTCTTTATGTTTTTGCTCCGTATTATTATTAAACTTCCTCCTTTTCTCATTATAGTAAGGTTCACGACCTTCATCTTGTTTGTCGATGTCATCTAAGTTTCTTAAGAAATCTGTCGTGTCTATTATTGTCTCAATTTTAGCTATTCTCCATAATTGCTGCACAGCTTTAGGATAATGTCTGATGACATCAGTTACTAATTGTTTTTCAGGTATCGGATATGATAATGTTTGTGCCTTCTCAACCACATAAAGAAAATAACTAACCATGGTGGGGTGTGTACTTCTATTCCATTTATTTTGCACAAGGAATCTCTTTACTTTATTTTGTTCTTCTTCACCCCAAAACACTCTTAGGAAGTCAGCTTTAAAATCATCAAAAGTTGTCCAACGCACATTATTAATGCGAGCCCAATACTTGGCTTCACCTACTAAGCACTCTTGTGCAATCGAAATTTCGAGACCATTAGATGGAACTTTCTTTAAATAATTGGTGAGATCTTCCAAAAATGATACTGGATGAGTATTTCCATTTCCGAATTTCGGCTTTTCTATTGTTACATTATGTACATTATATACAATATTTTGTCTAGGATCATTTACATGAGAGGTGCTCGCCCCGGACACCTCTCCTTGATTTATTTTAATTTGGTAATCTTTCGTTTGGTTAATAAATTTTTCCTCAAGATCCTTTATTTTAACCTCCAAGGTTTTCACTGCATTCTTAATTAATTTCTGAAGCATTTTCATCTCATCTTTAGGCTTAGCCTTAATTGAGGTTGATTTGTTCTTATTTTTAGCCATTTTTAATTTTTATTACCACTTGTTTTTTTTTTTTTTTTTTACACTTTTTGTGTCCTTCACTTACTTTAATTGAGTTTTTCCACTTATTTCACTTTATAATATATAGTATTGCAGTTTTTTTTTTTTTTTTTTTACACCTGTTGTGTCCTTCGCTTAGTTTAATTGAGTCTTTCCACTTATTTCACTTTTTATTATTTCGCTCCGTTATGCACACACCTCCTATATTATTACTTAATTTTAATATTTAAGCCCCACCCCCAGACTCTCAACCACCCCCAGCAAACACCACTCTCCAAGACACCTCTCCATTTCACTGACAACAAATTGTAGGCATATAGCCTACCTCATTATTTTATATTACCGGCCTCCTATTTAAAATTTAACCTCCATCCTGGTCACGGCACCAAATTGTAACGAACCCCCCCCCCATCTTTTTTCTCTTCTACTATATATCCACTTATACTTGTATTTCTTTAGAATCTATATCTGTAAGATATATAAATATATCTAATTTACGTGACCAGTATAACTTGATCTTTCTAAAGGTTTAAATATAGGCCGTTTAATAAATTTATGGCGTGATCGTCTTAGTTAGGACCCTTTTTTACGTTGTGTTTGTATAGTAACTTAGTTCTTTTAGGTGTATCTTGGAAGAATGAATATTCACGAGAGCAATCGAAAGCTGTTGGTAGAGTCTTATAAGGTAGAGAACCCCGTTCACGAAGACAGAGCTCAAAAAGGTTAAGAACAATAAATTGTCCCTATTCCACTTGTATCTGGTTCACAACAGTCAATTCCTTATTAATTAATCCCTTCCCGCTTGGAAAAGGCTCACAATATTTATATCAAATACCAGTTACAAGGGCTTCGCTCTCCCACATTTTAAAAAAAAATGTGGAGGAGGTACACGGCCCCACACACGCCGCGCACGGTGAGCGCCAACCATTTTAATGCGCTCCCCCCGAAGGGTACGCAAAGTTGGGAACTGGACCGTAGTCCACAGCAAAATAACCAGTAAAAGAGGACTTGGCCCCTTGATAGTGCGTAAGCACAAACATCGACCGAAGTCGCGCATGTCAATGCGTGTAAACGCCATACAGAATACGATCAAATCCAGTCACAGTGAATGTACGTCACACGGGTTAGGCAACAATAGGCACACTGACCATAAAAAGCCTTCCGTGAGCGCCACCACCTGCCAGACCGCCGTTCCTGCAGACGTGATGTAAGTGTAAGGCATCACCACCAATTGCATGGTCAGCACGGCCAATTGGCCGCAGAGCGTGTCATGAGTCTACCGCTCACCTCAAGGGAATGGGGTCCCACGTTGCGCGGCTTTCGGCCGCAGCCTTGAGAGCCTCCTCAGATTCTCCCTCCAGCTACCACCCGCATGAGGTCAACACATATGCTCCACCAACCAATACATTGGCAGATATAGCCAATAGGCAGTTATAAGATAATATTAATAATTCGCCATCAGAAAGGGTTTGTGTCACTGACGTTGAGTATATGCATTTTTCGATCATGTTTGTCTCACCCACCAACAAGTTGCCTTCAATCTCTCAAAGGTGGGAACTTTATAGAGATATATTATTAAGTTGTTATATAAAACATCATGGAGGGCAGACAGTCTGCAGCCCCGCTATGAAGGGACCCGACTTGGGCAAAGCTACTTAGGTTGTGAGTGAAACCAAGACGCAGAGAGCGCCATTGAGAATAGCGACCCGCCAAACAACCATCGTAGAGACGCAATGCTACAGAATGCAACAAGCATCAATACGACTATCGTCGGGCTTACACCATCCCAAGGTCCCCCATACAGTCCCAGCAGACATCACCACCCGCATACCTCCATCGACCAGAACCACAAGATGCATCGAATCAGGTGCAGCACACCCGCAGATCCATCACAAGACACAATACTGCAAGTAGCAGTAAGCATCAATGCAACTATCATACGGATGGCGCCCCCTCACAACACACCCACATGATCCCTATCGACTTTGGTAACAAAATTTGATAATGTTGTTAACTAAAAATACCACCGACGTATCATAGTAGTACGGTACTAAGACGTCAGTAGCCAAAACTCCACGTATCATAGCGCTATTGCACTAAGACATGAAGTTGAGTATGCTTGCTGCACTTAAAAGTACTACCAAACACACTCACCCTAATCCGAAAGATAGCCGACGTATCATAACGCTATGCGCTAAGACGCCGCCCACAACCGGTAGGGGTGTGCGATGTCCACGGGCAAGTCGTATTGCTACAACAAACCCGCTTACCACCGGCACTAAGATGATATGTCTAGGACACATCGGTTAGTGAGTCCAAGTTTACCTCGGTCTCAGAGGCTGCGAAGCAACCTACACGCCACTATAATAATCCTTTTCAAGTCCCATTTCTTTCAATATAATGCTTTTACATATTTGAGACCTTCCACATATTTGCTATATTTCATAGACCATACTACTGTATGTCTTATTCATATGGGACTTCAAGTCATAACTCTGCTATCATAATGCTTATGCATCATAGAGACCTTCTATATTAATGCTTTGGTTCGTCAGACCTTACTATGTTAAGTCCCTAATATAGGACTAGTCATTGTGCAACCTTAGTACTAGCAGTCGGTCAGCCGACCACCCCATATATATGTACAACCTTGGGTATGTGTCTCCGACAACGCCCCAATATAAGGGAACATTACAAGAACACGTTCATTAACTTAGAAATTTTCCAATTATTACACGAACTCCTTCATCAACTTAGAAAATTTTAATCCATTTTTTCTATTATATTACAAATGTTATTTATCTTTGTTATTGCAATATAATCGCCTTGTATTTATATGATTTGATATATTTTGAACATTTTAAGCAGGTTTTTAATAAATTTAGAGATTTTTTGAGACATTTTATGCGTTTACTAATATATATAATATTCAATTTTCCAAATGGATATTTTTGAACTCTATGCTTATTATTTGCATTTTATTGTTTAAATTATAATTTCTCAGACATTTTTAAATGTCTGTATAATGAATATAATTATTATTTATTAATAATAATTATGAGGCGTCACAATATGCAGGAGAAACAGCGTTGGTGATAGCACGCAGCCTTGTGGAAC